AAGTTATTTGGTCAAAATAAATACACAACATTCTGAATTTATCAAAATTATTTTTTCCCACAACCACTTTTTTTTCCCCTTATTCCTCATCTGACAATACTCTTTATTTTAATATTTTGGATTGTTCTAGGTAAAATATTACTTTAGACTTTTTTTCCTTAGGATCCCCTTTCCTCCATAATTAGAATATTTATTGAAATCACCAAAACTTTGACAGATTAAAGAAACTGTGTAACTAGTAGTCAGAGTCACTGTCAGGTAGCTTGGGGAACCAGAAAGGAATGTTGCTGCCAGCAGTCTGTTTTTCGGACAGTCATCTGTGAAACTTTCATTAATTATGTTCATTGTTCTATCTGTGTTACGTATGTGCTATTAAGGCATCTTTAATGCTTTAAAGATACAAGGAAAATTCCACTATATGCAATGTCTACTGACACAGAGAAGATCTCTTTGGTAACGATATATGATTAGAAAAGCTAACTACCAGTCTGTTCAGCTGATATACAGATGTAAATTAAAGTCAGGTCATTCTAAAACAGGGTCAGATTAAATTAGGGTCAGAGTGAACAACAGTTCAAAATCATATGCACTATGTTTTGTTTTGTTATTTCCTCCTTTGTGCATCTCATAAGTGAAGGGCAATTCTATTGCTTTCAGAGGACGAATGCTAAAATTTTGCTTTTCTGTATCTTTGCTGATTGTAGGGGTTGTGTGGTTGGGATTTTTAATCTGTATTACTGAAAGTGTTAAACTACACTGCCCTATTAAAAATACAAAAATTATGGGTTATACAGTGAAAAGTCTCACTGGAATGGGACTGAACAGAATGTATATAAGAATTAAACCAAACTAATAATCTGTATGGAGGTACTTCTCCAGGAGAGATGCCAAACCTCTCAGAGACCAAAACACACAGAGGATGTGCACAGTTAGCAGAAGCTACAATTTAAGAAATAAAAATCATCTACTCTGTAGTACTCAAAGGCTTTGCACAGCACGGGGAAATGGGCAGAGACCTTAACACAGAGAGTGAGTGAACGTTCCCTCCTGTGAGCACCGAGCCAGGCTTGCTATTCAAATCTTGCTTTCTTACTTCTATCAATAAGAAATTATGTTAGAAAGAAGTTTCAGTTTAAAAACACAACACTTGTAGCTAAGGCAGTGGGTTTAGGCTAAAGCCCAAGGGGGAAAAAAAGGGGTTTTCTTTTGCAGACAGCTTTGGGAAGCTATTATAAAAAACCTGGCCAAATGCACATACGTGTACATAGATGAAGATATATGAAATATATGTGGGTTATGTACATATAAATAAGTTCGCTCTTTGCTAGTCGTAAAACATACCTTGAAGAAAAGAGGTTATGGACATACCTATCTACAGCAGCCATGTAGCAAGGGATCTACAAGGATGCCTGGGATCCACAAGACAAGCACATGTGCACACTGACTATTTCCCAGGATTTCCAGGATTTCCAAATTATTTTTCCAATAATTTCTGTCACCAGCAAGGAGAGTTTCCAAATTTCCTTTCTCCTGTCCTCTCTCCCCTCAGATCTGCAGGCAGGAGCTTCCCTCCCTTCCCTCCCTCCCTCCCTGTCTCTTCCCATTAGAAATGTCACTACCCCATCTGCTGCCCCTGAACTCACTTGCGCTGGCAGGGACACACAGGCAGAATGAGACAGCTGAAGTCATTTAGCATAATGTGCTACATAGACCCTTCCAAGGCAATTACTAGCATTTTGCACCAAGAAAAAAGTTGTGCAAAACGGATTAATGCTGCTATGTTTCGCTTTTGATGCCTGTAACACAGATCAGGACACATCTCCTGCATCAAGTCCAACTCCTTCTTGCTGCAGGCACCATGCAGCCTATTTGTTCAGTGCTTTCTGCCAGCCAAGCTAGCTGGTGACTGAAGGATTGCTTATGCCTTCCAGTGCATCCCTGGACACAAGATATGCTATTGTAATACTTGAATTACAAGGAATTTTCTTTGCTCATCTGTCTGAAATGATAGATGCACAGCCAGCAAATGTACATGTTACTGTGGTCAGCAGGGCTTCTCTCGTTTGAAATTATGTATGCTTTACTGCTTTTATCATATGAAATTGTAATAACACAGTTTCAAAAGTGTGCACTCATTTTGGAAACCATATTGTACAGGAACTGCTTCTTCTGATAATTACGTATTTGGCGACAGAGGGTGAGGGGGTGAAGAAAAGCTATTTTCCCATCTGCAGCAAATCCTGACAAGCACTTAAAAACAACAGTAATGAGGGAGAGAAAAAGATATTTATGAAGGCTTTAGATATTAGTTTCAGATAAGCATTCCAAACATAGGGCCTTCCTTGATTCACTTTGGTTTGCATGAGAGGGGGTTTTGCACAGCTCACTGGAACTCCTGGCAAAATACAGGGATCTCAGAACATGTAGGTTTCACTGAATGTTTTAAGAAAGAAATACTTAGTCAGTGTTTTACTTCACAGCATTCACACCTTTACAACTCTGGACAGAGCCAGGAAATGAAGAAGCAAAAGATGAATCAAAGCTTATTGACCCAATAAAGTGAAGAAAAGAGAAACATTCAGATTAGTCTTTACAGAGTCCTAGTAACTCACCTTATCCTAAGTAGACTTCTCTTTGCTGTAGAGTTCTGAGTATGGGCTCAGGAAAGTTTGGACAGGAATAAAAATTAAGTGATAACTCTTGTCAACTCTGGACAACAGCAGAAGGAAGGAAGGAAAGCCTTCTGTCCCAGGAACCAGACACGCAGAGCAAAGCTGTGCCCTTTACCCTGCAGTACCATGGGGATTTCAGGGTAAGCTGTTTGCATGACCTTACACTTCTCAAAATCTCTCTCCTCTTGTCCACAGGGAATGTGGTGCAGCAGCCACCAGTGGATATTTTGGTCATACACAGGAGGATATTTGGGGCTTTTGAAAGGTCGTTGCCCTGTAAGTGTGGCTCCTGTGCTCTGCCTTGCAGTCCTGTCTCCTGACATATACAATCACAAGCCTTCAGCTGAAGATCTACACTGTAAAATCTGCAATGCATGATAATGAATACATATGTTTATCTGTAAATGTCTCTATTTAGAGACAGAAATTCTATTTACACCTTTACATATACTGTAAATTTTATGTAACATCCCTAAGGCATTAAAATGTCTACTGATGAAAAATAGAACACATGAATGTCTTTGATCTCCAGCACCTGTTAGTCTCTCTTACCTGTGGTACTTGATGCTTAATAGACAAAACATTTCTTCTAACACCCCAGAACACTTTGTGACTAAAAACAGTTTTGAGCCTTTATCTGGTGGTTGCTGGGCTCAGTGAAATGCGTACACAGGGACATCATAAGGTACGACTGTTCCCTAGGCCAGTAGTACTATTTAAAATAAGAACAGAAGAAGAAATAATATTAATAAACAGAAGAAGAAAAGTAGGTATTGATTACCATGCTCTCTGGCTTCTTTTTGATTGATATTTCAGATTAAGAAGAAATTGATCACAACTCTAGTAAATTAGCTCAATCATAAGGAGAAGCTGCTACAATAGCCCATCATGGACTGCTCCTGGAATGATCTGTGGACTGAATGCAAGGACAGATGCTGTGCAGTCACCACTTAGATGTAATCATGGCTTCCTGTCTCCAGCTGTGATGCCATTCTACTTTCATTTTTATTGACTCTTGATTATTTTGTTTCATTTAGCCAAACTAGCTACACATGAAAAGTTTTAAATGGATTCTCTACATACGTGGGTGTGGGGATTTTTTGTTGAGTTTTCTGATAATAAATTTGAAAAACAGCTTTCTTTATGTGCAAAGTGAGATTACAAGCTTCACTTCTGCTAATTATCATGCTTGGTATTTAGCAGCCTGAAAGAGGGTTGATTTGTTCTGGCTTTTAATTTTTTTCAGGCATTTGGAAGCAATCTGCTGCTAGACACAGCACAAACTAGTCGCCAGCACAAAGTGCAACTTCAACAATGCCCTGTTAGTTGGGGTAAAGTCACTAAGCAACCACTGGCTGGGGGCTGAGGATGAAATGAGGACAGCACTCTTCCTAAGGACCAAATCTCATACTCCAGCAAAGTCTTACCACAGGGCTTGGGTGTGGAGGCACAGCAGAGAGGGCAAGGGTGGATACTTGATGTCAGGCTGCCCAAGGAACAGAAGCCACAACAAAAGCTTTAGACATGCTTTTGATACGTGAGGAATAGATCAACCTGTTAGGCAATGACCATCATCCTGCTTGTGAAGGAAACAGCTTGTGTAGCCTTTGCCCCTCAGACTCTGAGAAAGAGCTAAAAACACTCTATGGGGTTGCAGTTACAGCTCTGGATGGCTAAATTCAGCTGTACCTTATTGATGTAACTGGAAATATGTTTCACATTGGATGTTAATCACATCAGCTAGTATCACATAATGAATCATTACTCCTGTTTCAGCTTGGTATAAACAGAGCAGAACTCTAGGAAGCATCCAAAGATAATCCACAAATAACAGCAGAAGAAAAACCCATTTCTCAAATTCATTGTACAAACAAGCTTTATTGTTAAAAGAAAAAAAAAACACAAACCCAAACAAAAACTCACAGCAGGGTTCCCAAATTCAGATGCTGTGTTACTTTAAATTCAGTACTGATGAGCTTCTGATTTGTGCACTTCAAAACTTCAGAACTTCTTGATTAGTTTAGCTTGGTCTGAAGGACTTGACTTTATCATAACTCAAGGCACAGCACCAAAATGCAGTCCTCAGCCTGACATCCAGTCAGGGTTATTCTGTGGATTAATCAGAATGCCTGATTCCCAGAGATTTTGTGCACATTGGCTGAGCATCTAATTACAGCAGTGCTGTAAATGGGTAAGACGATACATCATGTAGCTGTCCAGACAGTACATGATGTATTCTACCTCAGGAAATTTAGTGAGCTTATTACTTCGCAGCTTGGATTCCAGTTGTTCACAGAATGTTCTGGAATTACTTGAAAACTGTTGCACTCAGAAAACATCTTGCTTTACTATCATGGTGAAATTCAAGCATATGATCATATTTTTCTCATAATCATCAGAGAATCCTTGTACAACAACAGTATAGTTGCCCTAAAACAAGCAAGGAAAAAAGGCAGAAAATTAGTGTATGGTGTTGCCTGCTCTGATCTAAGTAGCTGCTGGTGATTACTGTTAGGACTGAAAAAGACAGATTCCCACCAGGGACTGTTATTATGGGTATAGTCAGATATATGAGGACATAATAAAAAAATAGTGCTCAACTTTGTTTTCATGATTGGGGAACTCAGGAACAGCAGTCCCTGGTCTGGCAGAGATCCATTGGGAAGTGTCAGGTCTTCCATAAGCACCTCATCTCTAGAGGAGGCAGAGGATGTTCCTGTCCACTACCACTAGAAGAGCTGCTTGGCTGCATGGAGTACAACATGGTTAAAGGCCCATGAGCTTTGAGTTAAGGGAAGGCTGGAGATTTTGTACCAGTAGGAGCTCCTTAGTGACATTTATGGGGATTAATAGGGATGATAAGATTCCTGGAAAGGCTGAGGCAGCTGATGAGACAGGTGTTGGATGAGTGGGTTAACCTGAGGACTGGTGTTGCTCCTGTTTAATGCTGGAGCACTGTTTTTACTTTTTTACAGGTAAAAAGAAACACAGTAATTTACCAAGCAAAATAGAATTATTAAGGTGATATTAACTGATATATTTGGTCTTTTGTTTTGTAAAATAAAGGAGGAATAATACAGGAATAATAACCTGAAGACATCTAGCCTTTCAAAAATGCTACCATTTTAGATTCATCGCTTGAATCATGAGCAAGTTTTCTGACATTTCCTCTGTTGTTTTCCACAGCTTGGGTGAAAACCTCTTTTCAGAAAATATATACATGTAAGTATGTTATTTTACTATTGCTATTTCTTTATATAAAATATTGAAAAGTACCTTTGGAAACTCTGATCTGAAACCTTTAATGTCAAATGCTGATACAAGTGTTTCTGTAAAACAGAGATAATTACAATACAAGTGGTTACTTAACCATAAAGCCATCAATCAGACTGCCTAAACAACTTCAAAGCAGTATGACATATCTCTCTGCAGCAGTTGCCAATGACATTTTACTCTTCCACTGACAAAGCCCTCACCTGTTTCTTCTCCCAGACCTCTGTCTATTTGTTGAAACCACATTAGGAAACAGAAATTAACCACAGTGCTCCTGCAACATCTCCTCCAGACACATCCTGCTGTGATAACTCCAAAAATTTCACTTGTAATAGTAGTTCAGCTCAATGACAACCAAAGAGAGCTGATACTGATTTTTAAAGAAAGGAAAACATAGACTGCACATTTTGTTCTCCTTACAGGTCTTTTTGGCCTTTAGTCTGACATCCTGTCTGAATACTCTGGATCTGAACCCATGTCTGGTTAATGCTGGTTATCTCCTACAAGAGGATTGAATCCTCTAATAAAAAAAAAGGCATTAGACCTGGCTGTGGAGAATCTCTTAAAAAACCCAGCCAGACACTAATCTAAATAGACTGTGTTCTGGATATTAGTAGTGCCCATAGTGCCTCTCAAGTTTTCTGTACAGCCCAATCAAATGTAATCTTTCCATGTCATTTTAGAGATGGAAGTGTCATAATCAGATGATGGATATTAGTAATCCTAATTTATGGAGATGGAAACTGCAGCACAAGGATGTTCAAACATAGAATTTGGAGATTTTCTATTTTAATGGAGTTCTGGCACTGGAGAACTGCCTGCTCTGAAGGCTGCTGCCTGCCAAGCAAGGTCTAGATTGTGGAGAGAAAAATCTGTTTGTCTGGGTTGATCACCTCATATATTTTCTACACTGACCTCCTTTCAGGGCTCCACACACTGCGTATTTGTCGTCGGCTCCGCTGCAGAGGACCCTTTTCCAGTGAAGTGCTTTGGCACTGTCGTACCACACTTGGAAGACAGTCTTCAAGAAGGTGATGTCACTTCCTAATTAAAACATTGCAAGTAAGAAAATGGTAGCTGGTGGGGAGAAAAAAATCTATATGCAGACATGCTACTTAGATAAAAATTAGTTTTCTCTTAAATACAGCATTTTCTAAAGATTCCCCCCAAAACTAACAAAAATATGTATCTTGAAAACAGTTAGTTCCAGAAAAAAAATACAAAATATCAGTTTTCAACAAAAAACATCAGTATTAAAAAATATTTGAGAGAACAATTTCAAAATCTGTTTAATTTCTTCAGCAAAGGTAACAGAGTTCACTCAGCTCCACAGAGAACCTAAACAGACTTCAGTTTTAAGCAGGTGTTGCAAACAAACTGTCCTGAATGCTGGTAGCCATCATAAAGATATCTTTCTAGGGAAGGAAACCTAGTCCAGCTCTGGAGTTTTTATTCAGAAGATGAAGTTTATGATACAGTCATTTCATAATTACCTTAGCTTGCCAGTTTAAAGCTGGGTTTAAAGATTACAGTTGGGTTTGCACACACAATCCAGTACCATTTCCAGCTTCTGCAACATGCTTATGCTCTATAGAAGTCCTACCATACTTGCATTGCCTCATGATATTCTCTCTCCTTAAAAAGACTTGAATCTTCTTCAGGCTAGAAGAGCTTGTGTGCTGCAGACGTTGTCTGCTTCTTCCAGACAAATTCACATACATCTAAACTGTCTCAGATTTGCATCTACAGTGCCAGTTTGTGTGCAGGGCTCTGGTAACTGCTCCCTCCAGTAAAACTCAAACACACTTATTTCCATAAATCTTTGTTTCTGTCCATCACTATAGTTTATCTATTCCACTTTCAATCACAATTTCCTAAATCATTTGGCATTTAGGATGAAGCGTCAGCTTTTCGCGTATATTTGATTTTCTCGGTCTCCAGAATATAGGTGTCTAGTAAACAGAGACTCACTTGGAATCCAGGTAAGAGCAGCCTTCCAGGGGGTTTTGTTCATGATGTTGCAAGGTGTCACATTAAACATGAAAACATGAGCTGTAGAATCTACAGGAAGAAAAAGCATTTCATATTGATAGTGTGAATAGGCTTCTCCAGGAGAATAATAAAAATATACCTATGTACATACAATAAACATACCAATTTTATAATTTATTTAATGTAAGGTATATACTATAATATTTTCTAGTACAAGTATATGTAGTAAATACTAAATATGTATGTTAAATTATATTATTAATTATTTATATGCTTAGAGGGCAAAACCATAATAATATTTCTTTAAGTAACAAGAAAACTCAATCTTTTGGTTGATGATATTTTGCACATAAATAACCCCAGGCAAAAGTACCTTTATTTCTCTTTTGAAGATATACAAACTTCTTATTAGCATTAAGCCAGCATGGTCCTCTGCCAAAAATATCCCTACTTATGCTAACCATGGAACCTATATAAACTTGCTGACAACAGCTAAAAATGTTTGCAATGTGCCAGCATATTTTCCAGGATAATGTAAATGAACCTTTGAGTAGATTTGCTCTGTGAGTGACCCACCTAACATTTTTAAAATACACAAAATATTGGCCCATGACACAGACATGGCAAGAAGAGACACACTATGCTGTCCCAGAGCCTGACTGACACCTCAGCCTGCCAGAATATCACATTCCCTCCCACATACTACACGCTTTTCATTGTAATATATTGGTTAACTCAACATGGATAATTTATACAATGGAGTACTCGTGAAACGTTGAGATCCATCATTTTCTAATATTTCTTGAATCAAAACATGCCTGCTTTGCTTGAAAATAAAACTCTCCTCTCTTTGCTGCTGGAACCAGCACTGTGGTAATATTTATGCCTATGAAGTATAATTCTTATAATAGGGCAATTATAAACAGAAATAGACTTCAGCTGAACTCTTTCTATTTTTCTATATTCATCAAAGAAACAAATTTGAAAGAAATTCCACATTTCCTCAGACTACAGTAATTATTGTGCAACCTTAAAAAAAGAATTAGCTGGTATTTACTTACCACAAAAAGTATATGACATTTCAAGATCTGATGATGTACAAATAAACTCACTGGCTCCAGGGGTGAATAATACGAAAAAAATAAGTCCCAACATAGTTACTTTTTCTTGCTCAGTATCAGATGGCATAAAATTTCAGTTTGGGGAAAGAGGAACAAAACTCAGCACAGTCATCCCCGGTCACGTCTTCAGGGAAGGTTCGGTTATTTTGTCAAATTCTCTGCAATCTTAATTAATCCTACTGCAGCACTGCCAGTTATCATCACAATAAATTTTGTGAAGAAAAAGACTTTCTGCGTTTGTTGTTACATTTTCCCCAGACAGCAGCTCAAGCCGCGAGTGAAAACTGAAAGAGAAAACTGTGTGAAATGGGGAAGTAAAATTGCAATTACCAGAAGCACGTAAAGGGCAAGTTTAGCTGACTCATCAGATGCAACATTTTTAAAGGCATAACTTCAAACACAGAGTTTCCTGTACATATTAAAGAAGAGAAAAATCCACAATTGATGGAAGCCAAGTCTACTCTTTTATTGCCAAGGTAGTCAGTAACTCCCACAAGTTTCCTTACAAAGCTCACCGTGCTTTAAGAACACACCAGAAGTATGGAGGATTGTAATTAGATGATATAGAATCATAGAACCTTAGAATCATAGAAACAACAGGGTTGGA